AGCGACCCCGCCCGCCCTGGACCTGGCCTTACCCAGCCGTTCTGCCGCCTACAGCCCCGGCCACGGTCCCCAACCGCCGAGCCCCGCCCCGTGGCCGCCACGGCTACTGCTATTACTCTTCTGGCCACGGCCGCTGCCGTCGCCCCGGCACCCGCCGCCCTCACTACTCTCACCCCTCCCAGCGCCGCCGTAAATCCAGCCCGTGGCCGCCAAGCGATCCCGCCTCTGCGCGACAGCTGCGTGCGTGTGCACGCGGCCGAGCGCCGGCACGCTTTACGGCAGTAGCGAGAACGCGTGACGCCTGTCCGCCGCCTCAGTTCTCACGTGGCGTTCTCGGAGGCTCTCAGTTGTCGCGACCTGTCCTAGCGAAGCATCCGCCACCAGCATGAAGCGGCCGAGTGAGTCGGGGATAGGGGGCGTCCGGAAGCCCTGTTCTGTGGTCGAACTCGGCAGGGTGTCTCTGGGGTGTGGGCCGTCGCCCTTTTCATGTGGGTAGGGCCAGGCCCCACTGCGGCCCTGTTCGCCCCGGGCGCGTTATGCAGAAGGCAGGCTAGGCCCAGAAAGTGAAGGCGAAGCCAGACGTCGGTGGGCAAAGTGTCCGAGCCTGGTTTCAGACAGGCCCAGAGAAAAGGCGTTTTCTGGCCAGAGCCAGCCACCACTCGGTACCACTGTAGGGTCGCGCCAGTAATCCCGCACACCCGAAGGGTAACGCAGGAGGATCGAAAGTTTACGGGCCAGCGTGGGCTGTATTTTAAGACCCAGGTCAAAATTCCAAAAAAGGAACCGTAGCGATACGGCGTTTACGAGCACGTGCGTGAGTTCTGTTCCCAGCCGCCGTGCAGGGCCGCTCCCAGTCCCCTGTAACTCCAGCTGCAAGGGAATCCAACGTCATCTGGCCTCAGTGGGTACCTGCACTTATTATGTGCGTGCGCGCGCGCGCATAAAGACTATTAATAAACTTTTTTTAAAGCCAAAAAGGTCATAAGATTCATGATTGTTCGCAAGTGGCAATCCGTCTGGCACTCCTATGTGTGGTCCATGTCTAGTTTGGGGAAACTGGCTCGTCTCATTCTACTGAAATCAAATGACTGGGATTTGACAGTAGCATATACTGCTTTTATTAAGCAGAGCACATCATTTTTCAGGAGTCGTTGAGGCAGGGTCTTTATGTAGCTCACGCTAACCTTTAATTTCTGATCCTCCTATTAGCGTCACAAGGGGTGGCATTTTAAGTATGCACCCCCATTCCCACATGACTGTCCAAACATTAGGCTGATGATTGAGTCAGTACAAGAACATCGTAACTATGTAGTTATCAAAACTATAAATTTTCAATATATTTTTGCAGACCATATGGTGCAGTAAGAGTGTGTTTAGGGCCAGCAAGATGACTTAAGTGGGTAAAGCCACTTGCCACCAAGCTGAGGACCAGAGTTCATTCGGGAAAACCCACATGGTTGAAGGAGAAAACAGATTCCCGCAAGTTGTTCTATAACCTACACACATGCACCCTAAATACAAAATTTGTAATTAGCTGTATTCTTCATTTGTGTCCAGTCTATTTCTAATTCTTTTTTCTTTGTAGAGTTAAAGAAAGCAAGTAAACGCATGACCTGCCATAAGCGGTATAAAATCAAAAAAAAGGTAAAAGTTTTTAGGAGAGATATACCAAATACATTACTAAGCTGATTTCTGTACCATCTCTCCTCCATGGAAAAGCCTATATTAATGATTTTAGGATTCAATAGACTATGTTGCCAGGTTCTTAGGCAATAAGAATGTAACTGGAATGTAAAGTGATTTTTGTCGTTTTTCTTCCTTTTGTACAATATGGGGGATTGAATCTAGGGTCTTGTACATGCTAGGCAAGCACTCTACCTAAGCCACAGTCTTACCCTCAGAGTTGTTGTTTTTGATAGGTTCGAGAACATCACAGAAAATTAAGGAAAGAAGCTAAAAAACGAGGTCACAAGAAGCCTAGAAAAGACCCAGGAGTCCCAAATAGTGCACCCTTTAAGGAAGCTCTTCTTCGGGAAGCTGAGCTAAGGAAACAGCAGGTAAATTATGTTAGCTGACATTTCTAGTAAACTCGTGTGGTGTTTCAAAGCAAAGCAATATCACCATTACTGGCTCATTTCTTTCCTAACCCCCTCACAGCTAGAAGAACTAAAACAACAGCAGAAGCTTGAGAGGCAGAAAGAACCAGAAAAGAAAAGAAAACTTGAAGTTAACCCTGGTGATGAGCAGCAGTCTAACGTGGAGCCTGAGCAGGTAGTTATATCTCCAACAGTGAGTTGAGTTCTGAAGCATAATACACAGATCAGTGGTCCTCGTGGTAGTAAGGAAACAGTTCAGATTGTCTTATTTGTTTAAACTACCAAGTACCATTGCCCTTAGTCAGTGTTAGAAAAATTTGAATTTGCCGGTTGCAACTGCTGTTTGTAATTTTGACTTTTCCTCTTAATTTTTCTATCCTCTAGGAATTTGGAGAGCACAAAAGCAAGAAAGCCAAGATAGGCAAACAGAATCCAAAGAAATTACATTGTCAGGAGCTTAAAAAGGTATCTTAGTATATAGGTCAGTGTCTAAAAATGGTATCGAGATTTTTAAAATTTAGGATCATTCCTTGACTTGATAGCAGCTTTGCAAGGTGGAAAAATTTTAAACTAATTGAAGTCAAAGTCAAGAGGGTATGTTCCTGTGTGGTGCCCCCTAGCACTACTAGCCCTGGCGTGATTTCCCAGGCTTCTCTCTGCTGTCAAATCCTGAATATGCCTCAGTACTTCTTGGCAAGACCAAAAAGGCCTGTAAAATGTCATAATTTGTTCTGGGTAGATTACATGTTCAGACACTTGAGGGTGCTTCGATTTCTACCTTCAAAACCCGTTTTTATCAGGGGCTGTTGAGCAGGGTTTTTGTTTTCTTGTGTGAGAAATGATCAGCCTGTAAACATTCTTCATATTAAAATGAAATGAGATCCAACTCTGAACTCACCCTGTGGCCAAGTGGATAATGACAGTAGAATCGGTTGAGGGTGTTTCTCAACAAGGAATGCTGCTCTAATCAATGGTTTCTTTGATAGGTGATTGAAGCCTCAGATGTTGTGCTAGAAATTTTGGATGCCAGAGACCCTCTAGGTTGCAGGTGTCCTCAGGTGGAAGAAGCTATTGTCCGGAGTGGACAGAAAAAGCTGGTACTTGTATTAAATAAATCAGGTGAGAAGAAAGGTCCCCCTGCCCTTGTCTACCCTATGCACAGTGAGGTATGAGGAAAATATCTGAACAGTCTTGATGATCACTGAAGACTGATAAGATCCAACTCTGACCTCAACAAAGCCAAAGCATGTGCACTCTGGTTGCCAAAGACAACCCTGAGCATTGGGGAGGAGGTAGTTTCCACAAGTGATTCAACTAGATTTTCTTGTTTTATGCCCTTCAGTTCTTAGTCCCCTTTGTAAGAGTGTGTTTAAACCAGTTTGCTTCATACAGAAAGTGACTAACAATATGTCAGATACACAGACCCCTGCATAATGTATTTAAATGAAATCGTTATGTGTCTGGGGTGAACAGCAGGAAGAAAACTCAGAAGAAAGCCTAGTAAAACAGAGTATAAAATCATGATTAAAAACACTGTTGGGGATGGAGAAATGCTCAGTGGTTGAGAGTACCGGCTGCTCTTACATACCTGAGTTGGAGTCCCAGCACCCACATGCCAGCTAAAAGTCGTTGTTAGGCTCAGAAAACATGATTGTTAGGGAAAATTCTGAAAACATGGGTGTAGGATTAAGACAAAGAAGTACAGGTGTTAAAAGCCAGGACATGAGCAGCTTAATGGGAAGCTCCTGTTTTCTCATTAATTGCTTTTGAGAAGCAGGGAAAAGTAAATGGGTACAATCTGTAATTTGCCGTGTTTTATAAATTCTCATAAAAATCACCAAATTAAAGCATGTATCTTCCTAATTATCAGATCTGGTACCAAAGGAGAATTTGGAGAACTGGCTAAATTACTTAAATAAAGAATTGCCAACAGTGGTGTTCAAAGCCTCAACAAATCTGAAGGACAAAGGGAAGAAACTCAAGGTACACCGTACTGTTAGTGGTAAGAAGTATGGATTTTCACATTTTTTGATGGTTGAAATATGATGAGTCTGCAAAATGTTGATTAAAGTGAAAAACAGTAAGATCCAACTCTGATTTCATATAAAGACCATCTGAAAAGCAAGAGACCAGTGATTTTATTAAGAGCTGGACTCTGTAGCTAGACTTCTTGGGTTTTACTTGGTGAGTTACCAAAATTATTAAAGTACTGTACTTTTAATACCTGAAGGTAAGGAAGAAGAAATCTGTTCCATTCACAAGTAAAATCTGCTGTGGTAAAGAAGCCCTCTGGAAGCTTCTTGAAGGTTTTCGGGAGTCATGTGGAAAAACTATTCAGGTTGGAGTTATTGGTGAGTTTCCACTCAGTACATTCTGCTTTTACCAGTTAGTCTGTAGATCTTAGCCAAGAACTTCACTCTGTGTGTACACAAGTTTATTGTGAAAGAAAGGGCTCATTCACCTCAACAGACCACACTTTTCAAGTTGATCTTTGTTGGGACTGAGCACCATATCATAGCTCTTGGTAGCTGGATGGGATACCTCAGTGGTAGAGCACTGGTACAGGCAAGGCTCTGGATCCAGTCCCAGCATCACAGTAAACATATGGTTATGTACATACTCTGGGTTATTTGAATTGTCTTTTTCAGATCCAGTTCTGAATATCAAGCAGAGTTGGGCAGAGGAAATTTTATAATCATCAGCAATGTGTTTTATATCTGAATTTCCATTTATTTGTAGGTTTCCCAAATGTGGGGAAAAGCAGCATCATCAATAGCTTAAAACAAGAACAGATTTGTAATGTTGGTGTACCCATGGGACTTACAAGGTAAATTGAGATCTCAGTAATTAGAAAGACTTCTGTAAAGAAGGCCAGCCAGTGCTAAGCTTAGTTAATTGGAATAGTCCAGCTTTCCATGTTTTAGGTTGAAATTAAATCAAAATGGAGTTTTGGTTTTTAATGGATTTTGAGTTGGGGGGGTAGGGGGAGAGACATGGAGGGTCTACATGTAGCCCCAACTGGCCTGGAACTTCACATAGACCAGACTAGCCTTGATCTCAAAGATCTGCCTGCCTCTGCCTCCCAAGTGCTGGGATTAAAGGCATGCGGCACCACGCCTGGCAATTTTTTTTTTAAAGAGAAAAGCTGCCTCAAAGAAGGTGGCTTTTGGACCAGTCCTTAGAAAAATGAAGTAGAAGAGAGGAAAATACTTACATCAGCATAAAACAGCCTTTGAGTTTAGTGGACATACTGCACTATAATTGTGCTGTTAATTTTAGAAGGGGTTAGTATACTCTTAAGTGTTTTTGGTAAACATGAAGCAAATGATGATAAATTGGATCTGACTGACTGTGTTGAGTTTGTTCAATCCAACCCTGAGCTTCATGTTCTTTCTTTGACTTGGGCTCCAAATAAACCAGTATCCCCATTAATTTCAACTGTTCTTTTAGGAGCATTCAGGTTGTCCCCTTGGACAAGCAGATCACAGTCCTAGATAGTCCAAGCTTCATCATCTCACCATGTAACTCTTCTGCTGCACTTGCTTTACGGAGTCCAGCAAGCATTGAAGAACTAAAACCATTGGAGGCTGCAAGTGCCATCCTGTCCCAGGCTGATAGCCGGCAGGTAAAAGAAGGACTGTTATGCTTTTTATTTTATTTTTGTCTACACAGAACAAATGACAGTTCGCTTTTTGTTTTTAAGGTAGTGCTGAAATACACTGTCCCAGAGTATAAGGATTCTCTAGATTTTTTTGCTAAACTTGCTCAGAGAAGAGGTCTGCAACAAAAGGGTGGAAGCCCAAATGTTGAAGTTGCTGCTAAACTCCTATGGTCTGAGTGGACAGGGTAAGGCTTCTTTTTATGCTGGCATTTTAGAAGACAATTTAAGATAGAAGGACTGGCTTGTATTTGACAGATCTTGTTTTTAATACCAGTGCCTCATTAGGTTACTACTGCCATCCCCCTACATCCTGGAATCCTCCTCCACATTTGAATGAGAGAGTTACTGCAGGCATGAAGAAAGGATTTAATCTAGAAGAACTAGAAAGGAACAATGCACATAGCTTACAAGGTTGGGATTGTGTTCTATTTTCATCTGTAACAGACTGATAAAGGTTTTCTCTGTTAACATGAGCTTGGTTTCTTTTCTAGTCCTCAGGAGCCCTCACTTGGCTAATGCCATCCTTTTCTGTTCCTCGGGCCTCACAAATGGAATAATAGACGAAAAGGATATACCTGGAGAATTGCCAAGACAGAGAGAAAACAAACAGAAGAAGGGTGAAGATGACATGATCAGCGACCAAGGAAAGGTTCACGGAGAAGATAATAATGTAAGTTTCTTCTGGGAGTTAAAGATGAAGTGAATTGGGGGGACTGGAGAGATGACTCAGCAGTTAAGAGCACTGACTGCTCTTGGAGAGGACCCACGTTTGATTCCCAGCACCCACATGGTAGTTAACAACTATCTCTAGCCCCAGTTTCAGGGGATCTGATGCCTTCTGACCTCTAATGGGCATTGCATGACATGGGTGCACTTGTATACACATGCATGCAATATACTCATACGCAACAAATAAAAATAAAATACATATTTAAAAAAGATGACAGCAGGGCATGGTGGCTTATGCCTTTAATCCTGGCACTTGGAAGGCAGAGGTAGGTGGATCTCTGTGAGTTGGAAGGCTAAATAAAGGAAGACCTGGATAGTCTAGGTATTTGAGGTTGTGGGCCATTGGGATTAATTTTATGCATCCCTAGCTATGTTTACCTTTCAAGCCTGATCCTGGCCCCTGGGTATATAATTGGATTGACTGGACACAGATTATCTTAACTACACTTCTGTTGGGTTCACAGGCAGAGATTTCAGACATGTCCCTTGTAGAAGAGACAAGGGGAGCAATGCTTAAGGAATCAACAGCAGGTGAGTCTAAGTCTAACAGAGCAGGTAGGCATAAAATTGCTTCTACTTTCTTGTATAAAACCTCATTTTATTTTTCTCAAATCTAGGGGAACTATCTGCCAGATCATTAATTTTGGATAGAATGACTAAAGAGGATGATGCTTATGACTTCAGCACAGATTATGTGTAACAGCACCACATACTTTTCTGAATGTTAACATTTTAACCACACTGCTAAAATCTATGTATGTTTTTGTATGACAAAAACTGTAAATCTTGTGAATATGTCTCTAATACATACATTATGATAAAAAACTACAGTGTCTGCATTCTTATGTTCCAGTAAAGGGAATGAAGGAAGCCAAGAAGTCTTATTAAAACGTAGATTTTATTTACAAACCAGGCCACTGGTTACAAAAGTAAAACCAATCAGCAGTTTCTAGCCATACTAGGCTAGCTGAACTAGTTCTGTCAGCTTTATCAGTGTCCATCCTTCATTCAGGTCAGTCAGCAGATATTTGTAGTGCATCTGGGAAGCTGACTGCCAGGTGAGGCAATTTGATCTCTGCCCACTTGAAACATCCCTTTTTCTATGGATTGCCACAGCTTAGGGTTAAGGCCTAACAGCTGCTATTTCCCATACACAGTGTTCCAGGATTTCCTGAGTGATGGATTTAGTTTAAATTGTTGGTTACTTTATGTTTGAAATCTCCATATGTCTTCGGATTAAACTGAATTTGCCTGTTGGATCTGGAATGTACCATTTTTCCCAAACATCAGCATATGAAGCAGTTCTTCCCCATGGCTTAAAGTGTCCATTCCAATGAAGTAACTTGGCAGCCTTTACAAACTGGGGTGAATATCGTTTTCCAACACTGGAACCTTACAATTCAAAGAAGGCACCAGGTAACTGTACTAATCAAACAGTGAGTTGATGCTATACTAAGCTGAGAAAACTTTGGGGAAACCCAACCCTGGGGAGGGGTTTTTATATACTAATTCCTGATTGGCTTAAGTCGTTGGTTGGTTTTTATTTTGAGCTGGATCTTTCTAGGTAGCCCTGGCTGACCACATACTCAGAATAGTTCTTGCCTCAGTTTCCTAAGTGCTTAGATGATAGACATGCACCACCATATCTATAGTTCATACTTACCAAGGTGTCGGACATTCCACATAGGGTCAATGGTAGAGTGCAGCTGATAGAATACAATCAGCAGAGGAGGTGTAGTTATGCTGCCAGCCAGTGTTCTGCTGTACAACCCCTCTCTTAGTGAAACATAAATGTTAATGAAGAGTATTGATCAATTGGTAAAGACTCTTGGAGTTAAAACATTTTATAGCTGAGTCAGTTACAGACTTACTCTATGTTAAGTTTCATCCATTTTTCCAGCTGGTTGGTCACATTTTGTCGTTTCCATTCCGTCAAGTTTGCAACAAAAACTCCAGGATTAAAGGAGCAGGTGCTGGCTTTCATGGAAAGCTTTCGAATTCTTTCCTTTTTATAGTCAAGGTAGCCAATGTAATTGTACTAAAACCACAAAAGGGATACCTGTTGCTTCAAATAGTATCAATTTATAGGCAATAAAGAAAAATAAGCTAGTTGAACTAAGACCCAAGTAATTAGCAAAAGTGATATAGATTCTACATTAAGACTGAAATCTAGTTTTTTAGTAAGCCAAATATATTCAAGGAGAGATTGGTTGTAAAGTCCTTGAATGAGTGCAGAAAAGCATGAGACTTACAGCAAAGTAACTGGGTAATATATGTGGCAAAAAACAAAACTTATTTTTCCAGCTCTTCCTATTATAGGGAGTTTGTATATGTACCTGGTTCCCTGCTCCACGGACAATGACTTTAGTGGAGGTTGAATCACAATCTTCTGAAAATGCAGCAGCATGCCCTGGCTTCAACGGCGTATTGTACAAGGCAAGAATGTCACCTGAAATGGACATGGTCAAGATTAGTGATTCCAGTTGTCTTGAGATTCTGTACTTCCCCCTCCTAATGGTAGACTTTCACAGTAGATCATGTAAGATGACTACTGTGGCCCACTAAGCTGTTCTTGGATGGATACCTTGTACAATTACATCATCATCAATGTATATGGCCTTCTTGGCGCTGGGAACCAGAATTGGCAGGTAGAACCTTGCAAAGGTTAACTGAAAAGGGAAAGAAGCATCAGCTGAGATACAGTGGCTGTTTTTATTTGTAGAAGCTATTAGAATTCTCAGAGCCATTACAGTAGATAATCAGACTTTTGTAGCCACCCAGGTTTGGTTCCTAGGGAACTACTTGCATTGTACGCAGGTATTCTAATCAAATATACTCCCAAATACAAACAAAGATACGTGGAACTCACTGGTTTCATGGACTCTCCCTCGTCAGGATCTTCCTTTACTTTCCCTTCCAAAAGTTTAGTGTCAAAATTTACAATTTTATACCTGATGTTTTTCAGGGAACCACTGTTCAACCAGGACCTGATGAAGGAAAAAAAAAAAATCACATTTTAGGTTTAAATAACTCAGTAGTGGGGGCATAATGCAATGAAAAAGAAACCCAAAGAATGGAAGATGTTTTCAGGTTCCCTTGTCTCTTTGAGATGGGATTCTTCATCTGATATGAAGGCCAATATCACTACATAGCTCATGCTAGCCTTGAACTCACTATCCTGCCCAGTGGAACTATTCTTCACCTAAATACATTAGCAAAGAAAATGAGTCAGGTTATAGTGGTAGAGAAACTAGTATTTAACTTGTCAGTTATAGAATGGCTATTAAATACTGTGATGACCCTAAGTAATTCATACAACTGAGTCTGAAAGAACAGTTTCCTTGAAGTACTATATACTTTTTTAATGCACTATATTTCTGAATCTAGGATTTCAATAAGTCATGACTTCCATGTACATGAACCACAGAGAAAGCCAAAAGGATAGAATCTGCTAGACAGACTTTCTTAAACTAAATTCTATAGGTCTTTATTTCCTTTATAATTTTTTTTTCTTGAGATGTAGAACAGGCTAGCCTCAAACTCACAGAGCTGCCTGCCTCTGTTAGGTATGCACCCCATGCCTGGCTTATTTATTTTTGAGGCAGTATTATAACCCAGACTGGTGCTCAGCTCACTTTGTAGTCAAGGATGGCCTTTGGAACATACGATCCTCCTGCCTCTACCTCCTGAGTGCTGGGATGACCAGTACTAGCCACCATGCCCAGTGTGTTTATAAAGTATTGGAGATGAACCCAAGGTTTCATGCATGCCAGGCAAGCACTCTGAGCCAAACCCATTGCTCTCTTAATTCTCACCCTTCATACTGGGTTCTTATTAATCACAATAATTTAAATCCTAATGATCACTTTGCCAAGCAATTACTATGTGCTAGTTGTTTTATATATTATTCACTTGACAAAAGTTCTCAATTTGATATTTCAGCTTATAATTACAAAAAAGGAAGGTGACTCCAAGGTTCTAAATGACCCTGGGCTAGGATCTGGAGACAGAACTGCTCAAAGCTTTACCATGTTACCTTGTCATTGTTCCCAAGTTCTTTCCCAGTCTAGACCAGAACTGCACAGCCTGTCTGCCCATAGAAGGCTGTGACTTCTGGGGGCTAGAGAGTTGGCTCAGCAGCAGTTAAGAACACTGGTTGGTCTTGCTGAAGACCTGGGTTCAAATCCCAGCACCCACATGGCAGCTAACAACTGTCTGTAACTCCAGTCCCAGGGGATCCCACAGCCTCTTCTGTCCTCCAGGGACACTGCACGACATGGGTGCACTTACCTACACGCATACCCATAAAATTAAAAAACAAAAAACAAAAAAAACCTCTGACTTCTAAATTAACATATTGCTTCTCATTGAGAAAGTCATGTTGCCAAACATATTATTAGACCTATTACCAAAAGAACTGTGGAATTAACAGTGTGAACACTGACAGCTGATTTATTTCCTGACATAAACTATCATTTCTGCTGTCATGCATGGAGACATACAATTACATGGAAAAGTATATGTGTACATGCATGTGAATATGGTAAAACAGGAAGCTATAATAAAGCAGCTCCTGGACTGGCCTACTGTAGAGCAGCACCAAGAGGAAGAACCAGGAAAGCAGAGCTCACCGGAGATGGTCTGCTGTACTGTTGAGCGTAACAATGTAGAAAATCACATTGGAGTGAGTATTATGCTGAATGCTGTTTATGGCTGCAATGGTCCCACCGAGCCTGTCTTCAGATGCAGCAATGACCACAGGAATCTCTTGTTTCCCATCTACTATATGTTGGTGAACATTTGGGACAAAGTATATGGGCTGAAGCCCCAAAATTCCTGAATCTGAAAAGAACACACAGAAGGGAAGTACTGGGTCACAAACTCATTGGAGTTTTTGATAAGAGTCAAGACAGGGAAGGGATAAGGTAAGAATCACAGCAACAATTTAGATTATTGTTGCCTAGTAGTAACTTTGATGAACAAAGTAGAAATTGTGTTTTCCTATATGTAACCAAACTTAAGAGAAGTGGGAAAATTAAAAAAAAAAAAGCTGGCAACATTCTTGGTATACCATTAGTAAAGAAGTAACAACCTTTCTAGAGTGTATTATGGTAATTTATAAACAGCCTTAAAGGCGTATATGGTCTTTGACCTAATCATTCTTTGTCCTTAGGACAAAATATGAACTATAATTAAGGCTATATCTCAGAGATAACAGGAGTGTGTACTCACCTGTGTTCATCCCTAGAATCACTGTAAAAGGCACAATATTAATTACAAAAACCTAGAAACAAAGAGTCTTCAAACCACAAATCATAAGAAGGCATGAGATCAATTTAATGGCTCATGATCAGAATTTATTTTATTGTGGTGCAACTCAAGACACTGGAAAGGCAAGAACAAATGAAACCCAAACCCAACAGAAGAGAAGAAATAACAAAAATCGGCAGAAATTAATAAAGTAGAAACAAAATTATACAAAGAATCAGTGAACCTAAGAGCTAGTTCTTTGAAAAGTTAAACAAGATAGACCCTTAGCCCAGTTAACCAAAAGAAACAAAGAGCAAATCCAAATCAACAAAATCAGATGAAAGGGGAAACATCACAACAGACACCCCAAAGATCCAGACCATTATAAAGGATATTTTTTAAAAACCTATACACATCTAAAAGAAATGGATGGATATCTAAAAGCATGGGAACCACCAAAGTTAAACCAAGAAGAAATCAACAGTTTAAAGAGACCCGTATGCTCTAAGAAAATCGAAACAGTAATACAAAGCCTCCCAACTAAAAAAAGCCCAGGCCCAGATGGATTTACAGCAGAAGTCTACCAGACATTTAAAGAAGACCTCCAACCAATACTACCTAAATTATTCAAAATTATAGAAACAGACTGAGAACTCCCAAATTCCTTCTATGAAGCCAGCATTGCTCCAATCCAATACCCAAACCAAGTAAAGAAACAACCAAAAAAGAAAACTATACACCCATATGCAAAAATTCTCAACAAAGTACTTGCAAACCGCATATAGATGTACATCAAAAAGATCATTCACCATGATCAAGTAGGCTTTAGCCCAGAGATGCAGGGATGGTTCAATATACATAAGTCAATAAACATCATTAATCATATAAATGGACTCTCAAGGCTTTTGACAAAATTCAGCATGCATTTACGTTCTAAGTCCTAGAGGGAATTGGACTGGAGGGAACATACCTCAATAGAATTAAAGCTATATACAGCAAACCCACAGCCAATATCACTCTAAATGGAGAAAACCTGGAAGCATTCCCATTGAAATCAGGAACCAGACAAGGCTGTCCACTATCCCCACTTCTCTTTAATATAGTACTTGAAACTCTTGCTAGAGCAGTAAGACAGGAGAAGGAAATTAAAGGAGTACTGATTATAAAAGAGGCCAAACTGTCACTTTTTGCAGATGATACTACTATACCTAAGAGATCCCAAAAGTTCCACCAGAAAACCCTTAGAACTGATCAACACTTTGATTTTATAACCTGCCACTATACTGAAATCTACAAAATCAGTAGCCTTTCTATATACCAATAACAAGCAATTGGAGAAAGAATACAGGGGAATGCTCCCATTCACAATTGCTGCAAAAAAAGTAAAATATCTTGGAATAAATCTGACCAAAGACAGCAAAGATCTCTACAATAAAAAATTTAAATCATTAAAGAGATTGAGGAAGATACCAGGAAATGGAAGTACCTCCCATGCTCACTGATGCTAAGAATTAATATTGTGAAAATGACCATCCTACCAAAAGCAATATAGAGATTCAATGCAATCCCAATCAAAATCCCCATGACATACTTGAATTAGAAAAAAAAAAAAAATCCTTAAATTTGTATGAAGCACAAAAGAGCCTGGATAGGCAAAGCAACCCTGAGCACAAAGAACAATGCTGGGGGGATTACTATACCAGATCTCAAAGTATGCTACAGAGCTGTAGTCATAAAAACAGCACAGTACTGGTACAAAAATAGACACATAGATCAATGGAACATCACTGAAGATGCAACCTGAGTACACACAATTTCAGTCACCTGATATTTGACAAAGATGCCAAGAACACACAATGGAGGAAAGACAGCATCTTCACAAATGGTGCTGGCAAAACGGGATCTCCACCTGTAGAAGTATGAAACTAGATACCTTTCACCTTGCACAAAAAAGTCAACTCCAAATGGATCAAAGACCTCAATGTGAAACTGAAAACCCTGAAACTATTAGCAGAAAATATTGGCAGTAACTTACAGGATATAGGTGTAGGAAAGGACTTTCTAAATCGGACAGAAGTTGCTCAGGAATTAAGGTCAGCAATCAACAAGTGGGACCTCATTAAACTAAAAAGCTTCTGTACAGCAAAAGAAACAATCAAAAAAGTGAAGAGAAAACCCACAGAATGGGAAAAAATTTTCACCAGTGACACATCTGAGAGAGGTTTAACATCCAGAATATACAGAAAACTCAAAAAACAAATCTAGAAACCAAATGACCCAATTAAAAGATGGGCTAAGGATCTAAACAGAGAGTTCTCAAAGGAAGAAATAAAGATGGCTAAGAAACATCATCTCAAAAAGTGTTCAACATCATTAGTGATTAGTGAAATGCAATTTAAAACCACCCTACGGTATCACCTTACCCAATCAGACTGGCTAGGATCAAGAGAACAAATGATACCAAATGCTGGTGAGGATGTGGAGAAAGGGAAATGCTCATTCACTGCTGGTAGGATTGCAAACTTGTCCAACCCTTATGGAAAACAGTGTAGAGAACTCTTAATAAACTAAAAATGAACCTACCAAATGACCCAGTTATACCACTCCTTGACATATACCCAAAGGACTCATCCTATTGTAGAGACACTTGTACAACCATGTTTGTTGCTGCTCTTTTCACAATAGCTAAGAGATGGAAGCAACCTAAGTGCCCCTCAACTGATGAGTGCTTAACAAAAACGTGGTATATTTACACAATGGCATTCTATTCAGCAGTAAAGAAAGAGGAAATAATGAAATTTACAGGTTAAATGGATGGACCTAGAAACTGTTATACTAAGTGAAGTAACACACTCAGAAAAACAAACGATGTATGTTCCTTTTTTGGTCTTTTTGAAACAGGTCTCCCTGTAGCCCCAGCTGTCCTGGAACTCACTATGTAGACCAGGCTGGCCTTGAACTCCCAGAGATCCACCTGCCTCTGCCTTCCAGGTGCTGGGATTAAAGGCGTGTGCCACCACGCCTGGCTATATTCCATGTCGGGTAAGAGGATGCTTTACAGCAGTCTCTTCTGCATGAATAACTACCATCAACATGACTTCAGCTGAACTTGACCGCTAAACATCATTATAATTGGGCTTGTTGATGGTTATGCTCATTCATTAAAGGAGGGCTAAGCAGGGTCATTGGACCCTCACCGGATTATCCAGACACTCTTCCCAGCCAACTGTATGTAATTTGGCCCTCATCACACATGGTCTCCTAGATTTGGGGAATGGTAAAGCATACGACCTGGGAAAGGCTAGGAAGAGAAGGCATGACCCATGTTGGGTAAAGGCTTTCCAGTGTGCATACCCTCAGATCATACATACACCTCAGCAACTCCTCAGTTATCTCAGTAAATAAGCTCAGCAAATTCATTAGTTCCCCAGTAAAACTTTAATCAAACATTGGCTTGACACTAGAACCTTAACAGGGAATAAGCATTGCTTAGCATCCCCAGGAAAAGAATTCTCACAACAGATGGAAAATTTATTTGTTAATGCTATTATGTCTCATAATTATTTAAAAAAAGAAAAGAAAGAAAAGAAAATGAGAATGTAAAAGAGGTTAAAAGGATATGGGAATGGAGATATTTTCCAAAATAGACAAAAAATGAGAACGCCTAACTAAACAAGTGATGAAGGTCTGTGTAGGTTTGTTATGATATATAAAGGATGAGACAAAAATAATACGTACATAATCTTAAAATTTCTAAGGTCATAGTTTAGCCAACTAATTTAAGGAACAAAGTATGTATCTAGTCAAGGTTTATCTGAGAATATTTGGTTTTTTACACAAGCCTTATCTACAAAGCACATAGTAATTAAAAATACTAGACTGGTGGAACTAACTTTATTGGATGTTTAACAGCCATAGTTTGAGGCCTATATTAATGTGG